GAAAGAGTTGAAAGAATCGTGAAAAACTAATTGTGATAGCACCATGCAGCAATGCGTACATAAAAATGACAGTTGCAGCTGTACACGCTAACTTAACTTTGCCATTTCCTGACCTGTAATTACTCAACACAATGTAGGATGGAACTGTGTATGGTCGTAATTATAGAACGATATAGCTTGATAGTCCTCTGCAGTTACATAAACAACAATTCCTGCCTTGCATGCCAAAAATGCAAGCCTGGCATATACTATGCTATTAATCTTCAAATAAAAGAACTTCCACCAACACATAGCTTCTTAAAAATGTTTTGTACATCAACTGCAGAGTACTGTGACAAGTCTGTCCAAAACACAGCACTCTTTATATCTTGGTACTGGTTACTCTAAATGCTATTAAGATACCCACTGCATATCTTTATCCTGAATGCAGTAGTGCCAAGTGAAGATATTACACAATCAAAGGCACAAAGGACATAATTCATCTCTATGCAGGCACAGTTGCTTCAAATGGGTTGACTTAAAAGCATAGTAGATCATCTATTACCTTAAATATTATTGTTGCTTTCCTCATTGCAAAAGAACACATCATACAGAAAAGGGTTATCTGACTCCTTCTGGAACAGTGTCCATTTCTGTCATCTTCTCCCTTCAGTATCACTGTTTACTCTTTATGCAGTTATTCTGACAAATCGTGTCCTTTCCTCAGTTAACAACAGGGCTCCACCATCCCTGCTTTGCAGCAGCACCAGGTAGGAATATCTGTCTAAAACATCTGCAGTTGTCCCTCTAGCCAACTTTTGACTCAGCAGGTTTTATAACCTAATCAAATGGTGTAAAATTCCATTTTTCTGGAATAAATTTATCCCTCTTTTCACTGGAACTCCTAAGCAGGCTGTTAGGAAGTTATTTATTTGCAGCTCCCAAGATCTGCATTTACTGTCCTTTCATATATTTCTAATGTCTGCTATTTGCTGAACTACTATTAAAACGTTCTCTTACTGCATGTAATAGGCATGTTTTTCCTTCACAGGCTGATAAGTCTCTGGTTTATGCTAATGCTATCTTTTGTGATGTCTGAACCACAGGAGCCTTTGCTTTAAAATTTGACTCTACTTGCTCAATAATCAATTTGAATTTGTAAGATTTCCTTTGATTCATAGAATAAATCCAAATACCTCTGCAGCTCAGTTCTTCATTTTTTTTTATAACAGCACAGGAGTCTTTATCCTAGGTGTTTTATATTATATACATTACAACAGAATTTAAATGTATATACTTATATATAGTATTTCAACAGACTTCTTTGCTGTTACAGATGTGTGTGTACATACATACATTCCTCTTGTGCACACAGAGGGATATAGATAGATATATCCTGTTTTAATAACCAAAATTAATTCTGAATGCTTCACATTTTAGTCTGATTATGCAAGTTAAAGCACTAATATGAAAAATATTCCAAGGATTGTAATGGTAATAATGATGGATTATGCAAAAGATGATGCACATTTTTCTTTATCATAAACATGAAGCAAAGTATTGGGAAATATAAAGTGGGATGCAAATAACTTTTTAAAATGTACTGAATCATTGATACATACAGCTAAAAGTGACCCCAAAAGATAGTCTATCCTAGCCCCCCTGCATGAGGCAGGATACATTATACCTAGATTATTGTTGACAGATATTCATCTAACAGAGTCTTAAAATCTCCAGTGATGGGACTCCACAACTTCCTAGACCAGGTACAGACATTACACTTTTACCAGTATAAATTATTAGAAACTGGTCCATACTCGTTTGGCATGCAAACCTGGCCTATACCCATAACAGACAAGTTCAGCACCCAGACTGGGTTAAAAAAGTCAGAAACTGTTCTTAGATTTGTGCCTCCTCTCCACACAGGGCGAACGTGTGTTCTGTTTGCTACCAATCTAAACTATGCCACTTACAGAACACTGCTCAACTTAGATCGATTCTACCTCGGGCTTTTTAAATGTCGGTACCTAGCCCTAATGTACAGTTATGGAACTGAGACTGCACTCATTTCCCAAAGCAACACTTCCTGTCAGATGTGTGGGAATTTTTCCTCAGTAAAGACTTCAGGATCAACCCCTAAGTATAAATTATAGCCTGCCTTCCTTTCTCAGGTACTACCCGTGAGGGGCGAAAAAGACTGTGATTTCCACTGGTTTGATCTTGATTCGTATATTTTAGTCTATCACACGTCACCAGGCGGTGGCTCAAGAAAGTTTCCTTGACAGGTTTCTGTTTTAAAAAAAAAAAATTCTCAGGGGGGGGAAAAAAAATCGGAACAAATTAGATTAAAACCCAAAAGCCAAGATTACCTTTATTCTTTCATAAAGGTAAATGAGCCAGAAATCTTCAAATTAACTGAGCAAATGCATATAAATATAGAGTTGATCTGGGAAGAGGTCTCTTTCTAAGGTAACTGGGAACTTTATTGAATAAACCAATTCTTTGGAACCCAAGACTTTGGAAGTCTCTTTACCACCTAAAGCTGTGCGAAGACAAAATCCATGCCCTTCTATGACTTTATTCAATATATAGGAACACAAGCCAAAAAAGGTTAAATTGCAAACTGAATGCTATTAAGCTAACTCCAAAAAATAGAATGTTTCTAAAAGTTGCCCTTGTATATATTTTTAAATTATCAACTCCATTTTTACACTTATTCTAGAGGCTCTGAAGTCAGCCATATTTGTCAAATATATATGTCCTCCTTTTCTTTTTAATTATACCATTATGTTAATACTTACGCCCCCATTTAGTACAATTCCACCTTAATGTTGAAACAGTGATCAGTACCCTATACGACTCTACCCACATTATTACAAAAGATTACATGAGATAAAATAAATGGCACTGACACTGACAGCTGTGGTGAAATTTCTTGGTATGGGATACTGCTCTCCTTGCTTCATGCTGATGTACCTTACTCCAATAAATAGACAACACTTACTTCACATGCTAGGCTTATGGCCTGACTGAACCTTCCTTCCTCACTCGCTAAATAATTGTCAAGGAACAAAAGCAATTCTGGGGGTTTTACTGTCCTCTGCAAAATGGTTGATATCCACCCTTTCCATCCCATGCTAAACCACAAAGGTACTGAAAATCTAGCTGTTCCCCCATGACTGTCTGTTTCAAATGGTAGAATTGCCCCTCGTCAGAATAACTCTCATTAAAAGCAGGTCATGTACACAAATTTTAAACAAATGAATAGTTTTCATGAACATATTGATAAAAAAAATATGTATTCAAAACTAGAGTCAGACAGTTAGTGAATTAATACCCTCTGTAATTTTTTTTTCTTTTTTTTCAATCGCAAATTTATTCTGTTGGAGAAGCCTAAGGTAAAATTCCGTGTATGAGTAAAGAAAAAAAACCACAGAAAATAAATGGCAGGCATATTGTTTAGCGCTGAGTTTCCAAATTTTGAGGTTTATATACAGGAACATCTTTCTCATGAAGCGAAGGGAGCCCTTTAATTATATCAGCAGCCTTCTCTGCAATCATGATGGTTGGCGCATTCAAATTCCCACTGATAATACTAGGCATTATGGAGGCATCTACAACTCTCAAGTTTTCAATCCCAATTACTTTAGTCTGGGGATCAACTACAGCACCGGTATCAGAGGACTGCCCCATTTTACATGTGCAAGAAGGATGATACGCACTATCAGCCTTCTGTCTTATGAAAGTGTCTATTTCTTCATCAGACTGTATGTTGCTACCTGGCTGAATTTCAGGACCACGAAATTTTTCAAAAGCTTTTTGAGCAAAAATCTCTCTGGACAACTTGATACACTGACGAAATTCCCAGGCATCTGTTTCTGCATAGAGAGAAATCAAAATGATTGTAAACACAGAAACATGTTGCAACACTTCCCTGCACATAACAAAACCCAAATCGCGTTATATTAGTACATGTTAGTACAAGGCAGAATGCCAAGCTGAGAAAAGGAAAAATCCATGCACAATATAAGGGCTCAGTCTTGTTAAGAAAAGAGCAAACAACTTTTTTTCCCAGACTCAGGTATGTGTCCTCAGTATGGACTAAGTTGTCACTTGCCCTGTGCACCTAAGCAGGGGAGCAGTGAGACACCCCCCACCCCCTCATTCCCCTGCACAGGCTACCTGGTTGCTCCTCAGTCTGAGCTTGGGGTGGCAAGCAATGTTCATGGTGGCTACTACTCCCCCTCCCATACAGATGGAAGAACTTGCAGGGAACAAGCAAGAATTATGACTCAATTTGACTATAATTTTGAGAGGGGGAAGGAACCATCTTTTTGCCTTGTGCTGATACAGTGCCTAGTATGATGGGATTCTGGTGGATGGTACTACCACTGTATACACAGAATTATTACTTACTGTAAGCAACAGGCAGCTAGCACAGTGCAGAGCAGGGATTAACTTTTGCCACAAGCAAGCAACAGATTATTTCTCCCTGGAGCATGGGAAGAATGAGGAAAAGAACCGAATGAAATCAGCTCAATAAAGGAATCATGCACTTACCTGTTGACAAGTAATTAGGTTCAATGATAGGATGGTCCCTTGGGTCTGCACTTTTCAGCTTGAGCCAGCCCACACTTGTGCTCCTCATGGGTCCAACATGGACCTGCAACAGCCCCAACACACTCCATGACAAAAAGTCAGCTGACACTTCTAAGAAGCCAAAGCAATTTTGAAAAGCATGGACTCTCCCAAGAGATTTTGCACATGTAAAATGTTAAACAGGGAGCACAAAAAGTAGAGGCCACTGCAAGAACATTTTCCCTGTTAAACTATCTGGTTGTACACAGAGCAAAGGGAAAAAATATTATTTTTAGGACAACACCTGCTCTTTTCATTTGGAATGCCACCATTCCAGTGCATCAGTAGCTCAGCATTTAGATGACCAAATTACTATCATCATGAAGTGAAAAGACTAGCCAGGGGAAGCAAATGTGCATACTGACAGTTCCCTGGTGTGTAATACAGACTTTTGGCACACACTGCATATTGAGAAACATGAATAAAGAATAACTAGGAAAGAAATTACATGGAGACAATATTGTTCCAAGCAAGGGCATAATCCTATCTCCACTAACATGAATGGTTGAGGATCAGGCCCACAAGCCATAATTGCTTAGATTATAAAATCTTTAGAAACAGAAGTCTGGAGGAGGCCATCTGGGTCATCAAGATCAGTTCCCTGCAATGATAGGCTACTACATAAAAGGCTATAAACTCCAGGCATCCACAGGGACAGCCTCCCACCCACACAACACAAGCCACAAAACCCCCTTAACAGCCTACAACAAACTTACGATCTTTAGTACAAAAGATAAAAAATAGTGCACTGCATGAAAGGAACACAAGAGACCACGAGACATTAGGACCCTACGATGCTAGGGATTTTCTTAAGTAAAATACACCCAGCTGGCCCCAGGAAGTGAACCATGGCTCCTGCTACTGAAAGAAGCAAAAAAAACCTCAGTGGTCCTTGCCCATCTGATTTGAAGGAGGAATTCCTTCCTGGTCTCAAATGTGATGGCCAGCTTAGCCCTGAATTTGTGATGACCAGCTTAACTCTGAGCTAGACACACAAGCAAGGAATTTGGGAGATGTCTCAGAAACACATGTACACCTAACCCAATATCCCATCTCTAGCCAGCACCATCTCTCTGATGGTCCTGACTACCGATGGGTTCAGAGCACAATAAAAACCCCACCTATCTATGCATTGAGAGGAGGTAAACAGATCCTTACATCTTGGCTGGTATGTCTTGCCCACATGATTATTGTAATTATATAATAATTTACAAGACTGTTATCCAAGACATTTTTCTATAACCATCTCTTCTGTAAGATCCTCACTGCCTACTAAAATTAAGTTTAAAATAGCATCTTCTCTTGTTGGTTCTGTGACATTGGTTGAAAAAAAAAAATCAATCAATCGAATATGACAACCAAGCATATCTGTCCAGCATAGTGACGTCTTGGTTCATGAGCCTGGGTACTAGGCCTGTGTGAAGCAGCTAGTATTTGCTTCTGATTCGGGGGACAGTGATTCGATTCGATGATTTGAATCACTGTCCTGAATCTATTTGGCTGAATCTCCGAATCACCCAGGCCCATCCCCAGCCCCTCTCCTAGCCTGGCAATGGCTATCCCACCCGCCCCAGCTCCCAGCACTTGGAAAAAAAACTTCTGGACTCACTGGGTGCTGCTGGGCAGGGGGCAATCCCTGCTGCCCCCCACTGCATGGGGGCCCTGCATGAGCCCCCCTGACCACCCTCTGTTGTCCCAGCCCCCCTGCCCCCCCCCACATGGTTGCCCTGCCCACCCCAGCTTCAGCCCTTTAGGGAAAAAAACCCAAGAAAGACTCCCAGACTCACCAGTTCCTGCTGGTGGGTGGGGTCAATTTCTGCTTCCCCCCCACCGCCCCATGCTGTGTGGGGTGCTCTGCACAAGCCCCCCAATGCCCCGAGGCCACTGCAGGAGTGGTGAGTCCCAGGGTTTTTATTGTTTTGTTTTTTTTCTTAAAGTGCCTAGGTGGAGGTAGGCAGGGCAGGCTGGGGCAGGCAGGGCAGCCATGGTGGGGGCAGGGCTGGGGGAGCAGGCAGGGGTCAAGGGGAGCAGACAGGGGATAGGGTCTGGTAGGGATCCTCCATGGTCCCCTCCCTCCTCCTCCAGCCCTCCCTCCCCCCCATCCCCTACTTACCAGCATGGAGTCAGACTGCCTGAATCTTCAAAGCTCTCCGAATCTTTTCCAAAGAATCTTTTCCAAAGATTCAGAGAGCTTTGAATTGATTCAGACCTTTTTGCTGGTCCCAATTGGATGGATTTGGAGATTCAGCCACTGAATCAGGCCAAATCTCCTCCAAATCGATTCAGCACCCGAAGCCCCGCCCCCCGGTCTTCATTTTTCCAAACTAAATAAGCCCAGTTCCATCAGTCTTTCCTCGTAAGTCACGTGGCCCAGCCCCCAGACCATTTTCACTGCCCTCCACTGGACTCTTTCCAATTTGTCCACATCCTTTCTGTAGTGGGGGGCCCAAAACTGGATACATACTCCAGATGTGGCATCACCAGTGCTGAATAGAAGGGAATAATCACTTCCCTCGATCTGCTGGCAACGCTCCTAATAATGCAGCCCAATATGCCATTAGCCTTTTTTGCAACAAGGGCACACTGTTGGCTCACACAGCTTATTGTCCACTGTAACCCCCAGGTCCTTTTCTTCCAGCTGCCCAGCCAGTCAGTACCCAACCTGTACCAGTGCTTAGGATTGTTCCGTCCTAAGTGCAGGACTTTGCACTTCTCCTTCTTGAACCTCAAGAGATTTCTTATGGTCCAATCTTCCAATTTGTCATGGTCTCTGAATCCTGGCCCTACCTCCCCAGCTTGGTGTCATCTGCAAACCTGCTGAGGCGGCACTCCATCCCATCTTCCAGTCGCTTAAGACATTGAACAAAACCGGCCCCAAGGCTGAGTCTGGAGCACTCCACTCGATACTGGCTGCCAATTAGGTATCAAGGCATTGCTTAGTATCCTGTAAACCCAACAATACAGTCAGTTTTCTATCCACCTTATAGTCCATTTATCCAACTCATACTTCCTTAGCTTGCTTGCAAGAATGTTGTGGGAGACCGTATCAAAAGCCTTGCTGAAGTCAAAGTATATCACATCCACTGCTCTCCCCGCATCCACAGAGCCAGTCGTCTCATTATAGAAGACAATCAGGTTAGTCATTTATCACTTACATCCTTGAACCACACACCTGATAAGCTTCCACCAGGGGAGGAACACGGCCATGATCAATCACTTGAGAAGGAAGAAAATGGAATTGAACGTCTGGGTGAGAAACACCTGGTCGACTTCTGATAAAACCACCAGATTCCAAGTGGGCAGTAGCTCCATCACCTAGAGAGAGAACAAAAGAAAGGAAAAACATTCCAAAACATCCTAAGAAAAACAAACGCATTTCTATTAAACTCTTGTTTCTTTAGCATTTTTCCATGAACAATTCACCTCTCCTTTTGTCCAATACATATGATTATGTCAGATAAAGAACGAAACCACAAGGAATGTAAATCCATGTGCAACTGACTACAAATGCATGCAGTGTACATTATCTTCTTGTTCATCAATAAACAGACAAATCCCAGTTAGTTTTGGCTACAGTGGGATGTTACAATATCTTTGTTGTAAAAGGCATTGTTGCACTGCCTATGAAGTAGCTCAAATGGCCAGATTGTGACTCCTGAGTCCCCGGCTGGTTTGCGGGAGTAATTTCTGCAGATTAATACCTAATACAATACATATATGTATTCTTGCTGCACCACTGTTTTTACAGTAGAAGACACATGGAATGTGTCTTTACATGGAATGCAAAGGGGAGACCCTTTTCCATCCAAAGTGCTGACCCCTGGAAGAGATTTAGGGGTCTGAAGGTTACTTCTGACAGGCCCTGTTCTCAGCAAAATGCATCATCAATTAAGTGAATGCAAAAGCAAACTTTATTAAAATGTTCAAATTATGAATATTGGTAGCAAATAAATAATAGCACAACTACAGCTATACATATCTATGTCCTTAGACCAACACAGCTACAACCTAAACCCCTGCATACATATCTAGATACACTTTTATGAGGCAAACAAAAATAAGCAGTCTTACTTCTTAACATCTCAAGATCTTAAACTGCTAAAAATTTCTAACATGTAGCCAGCCTGTTTGGGAGATCTTACCCAAATTCAGAAGCTAATTCTAGGGGATGCTGGAACTTCGTTATGTCTGGAGATAGGAACCTCAGCAAAGAATGCCAGAGGAACACGTCTCAGAACACTGAGACCTCTTTTAACCCCTTCCTTAAACAAAGGCCTACAATATTACTTGATCAGACCAGGACAAATGCAATCAGAAAAGCAATCAGGGGTGTACTCAACACAGCTCACAAAGACACTCTCATGGACCCAGAGGGACAGACTTCCATCTTCAGCTCCTTCTGTGCAAAAATGAAGTGTATTTCCTACCTATGGGGACTTTTTACCACCTTGTACCATCTACACTTTTCCCAGAGCCTGATAAATTGACTTTGATTCCCAAAAGCTTGCAGAAAAGGACAATTTTCTTGCCATTTTCCAGTTGGTCTAATAAAAGGTATCATTTTGGAACCAAGAGTTCTAGTTTTTTGTATATCAGAAAAGCAATATTCTTGTGCCATACTGTGGTCCAACTGGAACATTCTGACCTTCACTAATCAAATTCTGAGTGAGCCTTTCTTACAATTGACTCTTGCCTGTGGCTCAGTTCCTTTTATACTACTACTTCCCTTAGCCTCATTTGTATTAAGTCAGGTCACGTTAGTTAACCAGAAGCCTACTAAAGCAACTATAATGCAAGCTAAAAGGATTCAACAAGAAAAAGAAAATACAACAGAAAGTAAAAGATCAACAGAACTAGGTCACCCTCCCACCCTCCCACATTGCTTTATTGCACTCTCCTTGGGTTTCTATGCTGTCACAATGCAGCCCTTGCCAAATACTGACTTGAAGTGATAAATAAGCCATTCATATGAACTAAGATTAGTGGGCCAGCATGCTAAAACAGTGACAATGCACAGGATGTAAATTCACAGATACTGGCCCACATATTTTACTTACTAAGAAAAATCTTGGCAATTCATCTTAGTGGAAGTTAGGACCAAACCGCTGTTAAGAAAGCGTGCGTATTATATATCAAAGGCCATTCAGAACTTCCAAATACGTTTTAGGAGAACTAGACTGTGGAGTGAGGTAACTTTATAGAGTATGAATTTAATCAGGTATATTTGCTCGCTAGACAATAACTTCTCTGTCAGCTAGCTTCATTTATGGTAATAGCTTTTCTCAGAGGCTCACAGAGCACACATTCACACAAAGGCATACACTCAAAAAAGTCCCCCATGAATGCAACAGTAGTTTTATAAAACAAAATTGTATAAAATTCAACCTAATTTGTTACTATAAACATTTTATCTGTTAAAAAAAAATCTGATTTGGAAGAAATAAATCAGGTTAAAGCTAAAGAAGCTACATAATCTTTCCCATATTTTACAATTCTTAAATTTCTACAGAGTAGTTAATAATAAAGTTTCATGTGAAAGGCTCTACCATTCTGGCATGTGCAGTTTAGATAAAAGCCAATTCTGGTAATCCGATAGAACTGAATTGTGCTGGTTTTACATACCTGTAAACTTCCAGAGCCATTCTATACCAATCTTTGCCATTTTAATAGGCTTCTGGGCTTTATAGAGAGTAATTGGTTTGATGCACTTCTGCTGAACATACACTTCCAAATGATCTTGAAGGTTCTGGCCTACCCCTGATGAAACAGAAAAAACATCCAAGAAATTGCATACAAGCAAATAGTAAAACTTACATAGAGCAGATACATTTTCTATTACAGACTAGCCTGAAAGGAAACGGAAATAACCCCTAACACAGGCAAGGATGTAACACACAAGACCCACGGGGCACATTCAATCCTATGGGATGTATTTATCCAACTGAAGTCTGATTTCTGAAGGATACAAGAAAATCCCCATGTTTAGCTTCAAGATGTTTTGAATCTTGGACCTAATAGGGCTAATTTGAACAGCATTTTTCTAATAACACAAGTCTACAATTCTGTATTTATTTTGCACAGTTTGTACAACTGTGAGCAAAAATAGGGTAACAAATGCAAATAGTCAGCTAAACAGTTGCAGAACTATCATCTGCCACGGTAGCAACTTTTTCACCCAAAGGTGCTAAGGTCTACATTACACTTTCCATCTTTGTATAAAATGTTTTTTAGCTTCTTTAGCCAATCGGTTGTGGATCAAAGTGAATGTATAGCTCTAAATTAAAATTTCTTTTACAATAAAGGGGTTTTATTATTTATCTATTACTATAGTTCTGATAAACATGGGTCTCATACATCATTATATGGAAAGGCACATTAAAATCAATGGGAGTTTTTTAACTTATTTTAATGGTAGCTGTTCTCAGTCCACAGACACTAGTTCTAACTCCAGTGAAATTAGTGGAAGTCAGTGCAATGACTTTAGTGGGCTTTCAACCAAGCTCTTAGGGAGATGAAAGATAAAAACAATATATTTACCAGGAAGGTGACACACAACCGGGATCCCTATTTTTTTTAGATCAGCTGCATTTCCAACTCCAGATAACATAAGCAGCTGTGGAGAATTTATAGCACCTCCACTTAAAATCACTTCTTTATTGGCGAGAACCTGAAAATTAAAAATAAAATTTAAATTGTTTAAATTAAGTTTAAAAAAACCCTGATATTTCCATGAGGCTTTTTTTAAAGGCACGTTTTATTGGAATTGTATCTGTTCCTGTTTTTATTATTCCATATGTGTTGCCTGTTTTATCATAAAAACATAGAAAAACAGGACTGGAAGTGACCTCAAGACATCATGTAATCTAGGGGTGGGCAAAATACAGCCTGTGTCAGGTCCCTTGATCCTGCCTGGCCCAGGCACTGTTCAGCTGTGGTGCGTCCTGCCGCCCCCTGGGTGTGCAGTGTGCCTGGGCAGCTCCGCAGCTGAACCACCTTTCTAGGCAGCCCAGGTGGCAGTAACTCCTTCTGGCTGCGCCCCAAACAGTGGCCCCAATCCCGTGGTACCAGTGGGGACCTGCACTGCACAGCCCCAACCCCGTTTGCCGTGCACCTGCTCCAGGCTCGCCTGCCCAGGCTCAGCAGCGGTAGTGTGGGACAGAAGCTATTGGTTACTGTGTGGGAAAAGTGGACCCTCCACCTTGCTGCTGCTGGCTGTTCCTGCTGCAGCCGCCTGGAGCCTGCGCCGGGCTTCCCTGCATCTGTGCGGGAAGCCCGCACAGTGGTGGTGCGCCGCTGTCACCACTGCCTCCAGGCTGCCCTGTGGCGCTGTGGGGGCAGTGCAGAGCAGATGTGGGGAAGCCCAGTGTGGGCTCCAGGCAGCTGCAGCAGGGATGGCCAAAAGCAGCAAGGGGGAGGGGCTGCTTTTCCCACACAGTAAGCAACAGCTTCTGTCCCGCGCTACCACTGCGGAGCCTGGAGCAGGTGCAGGGTGCGCTGGGCTGGGCTTGGTTGACAGTACTGCCCGGCTGGGGCCAGTGGTGGCAATAGTTGGAAGGAGCCACTGCCACTTGGGCTGCTTAAAAAGTCAGTCAGTCTAGCTGTGGAGCCGCCTCAGCCCTGCTGTGTGGCCAGGGGGCAGCAGGACACACCACGGGCCAGCAGTGTGGAGGAGGTGTGGGGCGGGGCTGTGCCCAGGTCCCGGCTGATGTGCTCCAGCAGGGGTGAGTTGGGAGTGGGAGTGGGACAGGGATGGGGCTGCATGCTGGTGCCAGTGGTGGGGAGGTGCCATAGAGCATGCAGGTTCCAGGCTGTTGCAGGTCACAGGCAGGGGCTGACCGGCTAAGGGGGACATGCGAGTGGGGCTCCATTTCCCCACAAATACCAAACCCCACAAATACCAAACCCACCCACACCCCTCCCCACATGCACGCCCCCCCTCATATGCACACCCATGCACCTCTGGAGGGAGCCCCACTCACTGCTATGCACCCACACACACCCCCAGCCACCCCTCCACACACCCCAGATCCCCCACAATCCCCATACCCACCCACATCCCCACAAACACACCCTCCCTCACACACCACATACACACCCCCACAGCCCCCCACAGTATACAAGAGAAATACTTGATTTTGAGCTATTATGCAATCACCTCTATATACACCACACAAATCAGGGCAAAATATGTTTTTTAATAAAATTAAAATGTTATTGTCAATGTTTGATTTTTAGTATATAATTTGTTTTTTTCCAATTCCAAGATGTAAACCCACTTCCCAAAAGGAGTACTTCTAAGGGCAAGGCGAGGGACTTCTTGTGGCAAAGGTCAGGGCTCAGGACTTCCAGTCCCAAGATGATGACCAGGGGGCGGGGCACCTGTAAAGGTGCGGCAATACCCTTGCAGCCCTTGGCAGTTCACCAAAACTCGTCAAGTGGCCCTCCACCCGAAATAATTGCCTGCCCCTTATCTAATCGAAACTATTATTTAGACAGGCTCATGTTTAATTAGATCACCCCCAATAGTTATGTTTCACCTCTTCCAAAATCCTTCAAAAAAAGGAAACTCCACAACCTCCCAAGGTAAGCTGTTCCACTCTTTCACCTCCCTAAAAGAATTTTTTTCCTAATATTTGGCCCCCTCTACACATGCAGGTAAAGGCGCTATGATATCTAATGCACAAATGTAACAAGTGGGCATTCCAGGGCCAGTCAAATTGTTGACCCACCTACTTGTCTCTAGGCAAACCACACACCTACTTTACCTGCCACACCTTAGTTGGTATCAATTATAAGATGTTAATAAGGCAGGAGGCTACCCATTTACTTGCCCTGATGCCAAGGGCTTATATACATGGCTCTGACCTCCCCTGTATGGTGTCCCATGCCTCACAGATGGCATCCACAACGTAGCACTCCGCCTTAGTTTGTTTGTCCTGACACCCAGCCTATAAGCCTGTGTCCTTACACTGGGACCCATAGTCCAGTCTCACGTGGGACTCTCAGTCCCCACTGGAGCTCGCAGTTGCTGTGCCCTCACACTGGACTTTCCTTCTATCCATTGGGGTTCCCAGCCCCTGCCTACTCAGGGTTCCAAGCTCCTACCAACTCAGGGCTCCAAGCCCGGCTCAGGACCCTCTCAGTCCCCTCATGCCCCAGAACTGGGGCCTCAATCCCCTGCCCTGTACTGGGTCTCACAAATTCCCTTATCCCCTTACCTGAGGAGCCTTACATCAAGTTCCCTTGGCTTAGGGCCCCATTCCCTGGGAACCTCACACCCAGCTCCTTAATGCAATCTCAGAGCTCACAATGAGTCTGGGAGCTGCCTCAAGCTTTCCTGACCTGGGCCTCATCTCAGGACTCACCATGAGCCTGGGCTCCTGCTTTGACTTTGAGGTTTGCTCCCGTAGCCTTTTCCCTCCATAAGGTCCCCCACAAGGCAATGGGGGCTGAGGCTTTATGGCGCCCCATACTTACCCTTCACTGGGGAGACCCCAGGTGTGGCATTTCCTGGGGACTTCCCTGCCACCGGCAGTCCCAACACAACAACCAGCCCCAGCAGGGTGTAGTTTTAGGTCACGTCCCAGGACCAGGAGCCTCCATCCATTCCCATGGCTCCTGCCCTTACCTCCAAGATGGTATGAGCAGCAGCTCCAGCCAGGTGGTGTTCTTTTCCCAGCTGCTAGCAGCAAACTGCTGGCCTTGCTGCTCAGGTTGTTACAACAATCCACACAATGGTGTCTCCTGCCATGCCACATGTACATAGCCCCCTGGCTTTTCTCTGGCAGTGTACATTTACATTGTCACTCCTAGTCACTGCGCACTCTCAGGAAATCTTTATCCCTTTACTTGTCTTCCCAAGAGACTGTACCTCAACCATTTCCTAAATTCATTGCAGTCTGTCAGAAGTTAATTATCCTTATTCCACTGTCCTCAGACCTTTTTTTCCCTTGGAATGGTGAACTTCATCATTTCATGAATGTTTTTTCTCTAAATTATCTTTTAATATCTCAGTCAATTCCTACCTATTAGAAGCTAAGCTAAAATAGCTGCTGTCCTACTAATCTCTTCTACCTTCGGATACAAAAGTTGTTTTCAACACATTCCAAGAAGCTAATGGACTGTGACCTGGCAACAGATGTCTGGGCAGTTAAGGTCCCTCATTACCACCAGGACCTATCTTTTAATGCTACTGTTAATGGCTCATAACGCCCAGTCCACCATTACTTCCTACCATGACACTGTCCCTGTTATTTTACCCTTTCATTTTCAACCAGAAATATAAACAGCTCTGCCACTTGGCTGTTCCTGAACTTCAGAGCAAACAACTATACAGATATTTTCAGCATACCGCAAACTTCTACCTCCTCCTCCTGCCTTTTTTTCTCTTTCTACCCTTTCTAAATAAGCTATACCTTTCTATACCAATATTTTTTCTAAGAGCTTGTGAGGACAAGAAAAACTGGGTTTTCACTTTGGAACAAAATATGAACGGAACAGTGTTTTATAATCTATTAACAAACATTCAGTCTATCAGATAACATATTTAGCAGTACATTCACATGCTTCTTGCCAGGACTGAGGTCTACAATAGTTTCAAACAATGGAACAGACAGAGCGTGTTCCATTTTAGTAACAATGAGTAAATTAAAAGCAAACAGCCAGGTCCTACTCCACCTATTAGGTAGACTTAAGCATGAACCTATTCCATTCTGTTCAAGCCTCTAAAAACCCAGTAATTGATTTATTCTTTGTACCATACTCTCATCTTAGTCTTGAAACTGTCATAAAAAAGTAGCAAGGAGGACCCACCACCTTTTGTATTCGAAGTTTTTCAAGGACTCAAGCAGGTGTAAAACGTTTGGCCCAAGGATCATAAGAGACTCTGAATTCTAAGGTGCTTTGTAAAATATTAGCACAACACATTCTCTTGTCAAGAGTTTTTGTCCCATTGTTAATTCAACAGATGCTAATATTTCATTTCACCAGCTTTTGGGGTCTTGCTGAAACCCTCATATAGTTATTTGCTACAGTATGTATATGCTGTTTTATACAACAGATTTTCCAACACGTTGCCTTAAGAATGTGCTTCTTTCAGCTGGTTGCTACTTATACTGCTAAACATTAGCTGAGATCTTCAGAGACTGACATTTTCATCTCACCAGCCCCTACCTATTCTACCAGGACTTGATCTAGTATTTTCAGTATTGTTCCATCAATATTTCTGGCCAGAAGAACCAAAGATTCTAAATTTTCTTGCTTTCACTTACACAGATTAGCACTGCCGCTTTAGATCTAAATCTTACTGTCCCATGTGATTTAGGAGGCTGCTACTTCCTTACTACTGTAGCCATTCATCTTCCTCCTCATTGTAGCTACTAGACAAGAGATTTTCAACCTTTTTAGACTCAAGGCACCCCTAATAAAATATTAGCTCTCAACTTCCACACATTTTTTGACTACAGAAAAATAGCAGAGCAACTCCTCTGTTGCAAAGAACTCAAAGAGATCGTAATAGGTTAAAAATGGTTTAGGTACAATGCAATCCTATTTGAAATCTCTGGCCTTATCTTGTGACTCATTTGTAGGTGTTTGCACACATGATAGCACTAATGTTCTGCAGAACCCTTAAAATGATCTCACAGCACCACAGGGTGCCAAAGCACC